CTATCTATCTATCTATCTATCTATCTATCTATCTATCTATCTATCTAGTGTTGTGTGTGTGCGTGTATACACACATACACACACACTTCACCTGAATCTCCCATAAACACAGAAAATAACTTTTACAGCTTGCTGAATTCCACTGCATACTGCTTGTGATCCGTTTCAAAACAGCCTAAAATCTTGTTTTATTTCATGCCTATGATCATTATTTCAGCCTTAATATCCAGCCACAGATTATCATATAGAATAAAATAAAAAAATTTAAAAAAAAACACACACAAAAAAACAAGGTTTTACATTTTTGACTTGCTCTTGATGGCTGTTTATTACAATTCATCCAGATGTCCTTTACTGGAAGTCTTAATTCCTCAAATCTGAGCGGTGTATATCCCATCATGGTTTCACACTTTGCCTTGTAAGGAGCGTCTGACTCACAGTAACTACAGCTTCCCTTGTGCACAGTCCCAGCAAGAGGCTATTACAGACCCCCATTTTATTACCCATTACTACTGAGGTCATTAGCAGCAAGAGGGATTGTATGCTTCTTAACCTATTGATCAATGTAACTACTACCATTTAATCCCGTGCTAAAGGAGTGAAAATCTGCCTAAGACTGGGTCCTATTGAGCGGAAGGGCGGGAGGAGCACTTTAACTGAAAAATATTGCTTTGGTCGCTGTGTCATGCCCATTTAACACAAACACAGGACGCCAGTCGCCATTTAGAGCACTCCCATATGGTGCACTCCCTTATCTCCTGGATAACATCATGACTCCAGATGATCCACAAAAATATATATCCATCAAGAGATAGTCTAAAAGGGGACTCGTGCCGGGCTAATAACTGGAGGGATCCACTGAGCCCAGCTCTAATCTACTCTACCAATACGAGAGTGTGAAAAAGAGGACATTGTGAGGTTGCCAGAAATAGCTGACGTTTATGAATTTCATGAAGGTGTGGTGCTCTCCAGGTGCCTCCCATACATAAACATTCAAACCTGGAACATTCTCACACAGCTGCAGAGTGACTGGAGGCAAAATACTGTACCAGCACAGGCCTGCTGGCCAAACACACGCACAAAAAATCTAAACTGTGGCACAATACACACAAACACATCTGCAGCCCATAACACAGCGTGTAGAACAGCACAATTCTCCTGTCAAAATAGATGTTTGTTTTGTACTTCAGGATAAAAGTACAAGAGAATGAATTACTATGGTCTAACATTTAGAATTTAATTTTAGTTTTAACAACAAATTATTCCTTTTGTTCTCTGACCACACACCCAAACTCAGATAAATCAATAATCATTAATGTACATCTAAAGTCAGTCCCGTTTCTTTTTGTAATACGCAGAGTGCAAAATGGGATAATCGCATAAGGCAACCGACTCGAGTAGATCTGAAAAGGTTAAAGTGCCTGATTTAGAGTTGATGGGGATGCTCCCTGAGCACTCCATCAAAGCTATGACAGGTCGGAGGTCACAGGAATCGGGTGAACAAGGCTGTGTGACGGTCTCTGTCCCCAAACTCAGGGCAATTAAGGCAATAAAGAGAAACAGTGAATGTCATGGAGACCGAAAAAGGTGGAGCTGAGCTGAAAAGGGAAAGGATAAAAAAATAAAAAATAAAAGACAAAAATAAAATAAATAAAAGACAAAAAATTATCAAATTTTCATTTTGTGCTCCCTGGGGTCATCTTGTTTTCTGGGGGCATCAAATGGAATGGAGAAGTAACAAGAAATATCAAGCCCCAGAGAAATCACGGAGTCGAGTCCGTTTGATGCTGTTATTTTACCGTGGCCCACTGTGGCGCAAGGAAACGACTTCCCATCCCGACTGTGATCTCCTGAATGAAAATGTTGCAGAGATGAGGATTTCATGGGAGCTATTGTACTTAAGTGATGTTTGAACATAATTAGTCGTCGACGCGACTGGAAGGACTAATTCCATATTACCCATTCGGGTTGATTGAAATCTCTGAAGTGGAGAGCATTTTCTGTTTCTTTTCTTCCTCCTCAGGAAAACAAAAAAGACACAGTGTGCTCATTAACAGGGTTTTTTTTTATCTCATGGTCATAATTTAATATATATATATATATATATAAAATATATCATCATCTATATCAGAGTACTTTATTGATCCCACAGTAGGGAAATTCACACGTTGCATAATGTTATACACACACACATATGTATATATATATATATATATATGTACATGGAAAATTACAGGAAGTTGAAATTGATTACAAAACAATGGCAAATGCAATGAGAAATATCAAGTACTAAGTATATCGTCCACTGTTTTAAACCCCTAATTCCTGCATGACTTTAGACCGGGATCATTTCTTTCTCTTCATCCACAATCAAGCCGCTTTAAAAATATTTACAGCTAAGATAAACAGGATAATCACAGCCACAGTTGGCCTCCTTTATCACACACCGCATATTTGGCATTTGGGGTGTCGGAGCGTACGCACATTATTTGCAGCAACTGTAAAAACAAAAGTTAAAATTGCATTTTAATTAACTGGTCGACTGCAAACAAACAGGTTTTTTTCGCCCGAGCTCGACCCGGCTCCGGGTTTAAGCAAACAAGCAGCGCGGCGATGAGAGGCGAGCGCTCACCCCAACAATAACAGCCGAGCTGCGACCTGCAAGCCGTTTCCCACAGTGGAGCCGGCCGCCACTGCAGGTGACCGCTGCTGAGGGGAGACCTTCCTCCTCTCCACCCTCACACACACACCACCGCCTTCGATGCCAGTGACTTAATGACAATAAAAGTTCAAAACTACATTACTTTGTATTAGAAGTTATTCGTGAGCTTATTTCTCAATATTGTGAGCTGAAACAGATAGAAAAAGCAAAAGAGGAGGGTTTCCCTGCACCTTGAGGTGTGATTTGGTGTCCTGGCAGTCTTTCTGACCTTTCAAGCCACACCTCCCGGCATTTCCCCGTCATTTGGTTCTGAAACGTGGCTTACAAACTCGGTGTGACTCCTGCACCACCCACCGCCGCTCACTTTCCTCACCTCTCCTCCAACACATCTTAGAATCACTGTCAGTCTGAGCTGCGTTGCCCCTGATCTATGGTTCACCGGCTCTGCACAGTTTCGCAACGCTGCACGTTTTCAGAGGTGTTATTTGAGTCGGTTGAGATTTAATTAAGATCACAGCCTCTAAAATCCCTTTCAAATGAAACTGTAGTCAAAAGACAATGGCTGACACATCCTCGTACAGATTGTTTCTATTCTCTGCACACCAGCAACGCAAGGCTAATCCTTGTTTCCATGACGGCAGACAAGAGGGACGCAAATTATGTTGCTTCTTGACACTCTTACTGTTGTTGTGTTATGCGATTCGCATAAAGTGCACGGCCAATTGATTTAAATATGAAGAAAAATGTCAGTGTCAGCAGCAGCTTTGCAGCCCCGACTAAAAAATCCAGGCATGCAAAAGCAGCGTTTGCCCATACACATCTCTAAAAGCTCGATATTACTTTCTTAGTGTGACGTGTCAATACCCTCACGGCCGTGGCCGCTTTGAGAATACATAGGCTGTGGCTGAGATGAGCGATGAAAAAGATCTTTTGCCATAAAACACTCAGCACCATGTAATCTCATCATTATCCCAACATCTCAACCTTTACAGACACATGGCATCTCAAGTGTGGAGTTAATCTTCCCGCTGGAAACAGAGACTCACAGACTCTAAGCAGCAATGAGCCTTAAAAAAAAGAAAAAAGGGGGGGGGAGAAGAACGCAAGCCGTTTTCAAGTAAAAACACGTTTTAGATGGAAATGCCAGGGAGTAAGAGCAGAGAGCAGCTGGTGGCTCACTATCACTTTTAAACTATTTCCCCGTCTATCTCTGTCTGCATGAATCCTCCACTACAAAGCAAAGGCTGTCCCTGTAAAGGATATCCCAGCGAGCCATGGGGCTCTGCAGGCTACCCCCTGTGCCCCCCAGTCTCTCTCTCTCTCTCTCTCTGGGTACAGGGCTAATATCTGGTTGTCTATGTCATGGTTTAGAAATGACAGGTGCTGGCAGCCCCTTGCCTTGACAGGCCACTGCACAAATAACGCTCCTGCCTGAAAGGGCTAATGCACTACTAATGAACAATAAATCAACTTTGATTACAAACTGTCAACCCAATCAGCTCGCACTCCAGCTCTCCCAAAGTGCGAGCCTCATCTGCACAGCTGCACGGCATTACGGTGAACACTGCCCCGTTTGAGCTCCGCTCCTCTCATCCCCGAACCATCTGATAGTCTCCTTCACCCACTTTCCCAGCACTGATGCAAGGAGCTGAAAGACCGCTCCTGCGAAAAAGTTTCGGCTCGGTGGCGAGCCGACTCTGAAACAACACTCGGAAAAGGCTGAACGCGAGGGGAATTTTTTCCTTTTTCTTTATCACTTGCATATCTTCAATTATTCAAACAAAAATACTCAAGCTGGTTAAACAACTAAAACCACAACATGAAACACAGTGAAAATCAGTCAGCTGGATAAAAGCGCAAAGCTTTCACACGTGAGAAAGAGGGCAAAAATTACAACTCTCCGCTTAAATCTATTCAGCAATTCTTCTATCGAAGAGACTCACACTCAATTGCATTTATACACACACACAGAGGCCCACACACACGCGCACACACCAACTTTACAGAAAGATATGAGCGATGACATTTGGAGTGACAACTTGGTTTGTGGTGACGGTGTCAAATATAGAGCTGTGCCAGCCACTGTCTTAATTCACTGTGACACCATAAGGAGAGTGAGAATTAGTCCAGACCATCGCCTGAGAGCAAGAAAAAACTCTAAGCAGAGGAGCAAATCATCACAAAATACACAATGAGCAGAACCTGCTGAAAAGAAAAGAAAATTCAAAACTCCGCAAGAATCTGAATGCTCTTTCAAATGACTATATTTTTAACAACAGAGCAAGAAAGGAGTCACAGTTGTTGTGGTTAAGGAGGTTTAAAAAAAGAAAAGAGAAAGGGACTAACCCGTTTTTTGTTTTTCCAAGAGCTTTCCATAATTCAAACAGCACACAGTACAGCGCCACATCCTGCTTAACTGGTTAGCCCACTATCAACAAAGTAAATAAAACTAATCAAACGCTGTAAAATGCTAAATCTATGTCCGAAACTCAGTGCAAAAATAATCGGTGAAGTGTAACAAAAATAAAATGAGAGCTGGTCAATTAACCATTGGGACAAGAGTCAATTTCAGACAACACATGAGCAGAGTAAACAGGTAAACAGAGCCAGTAAATGCAACATCTTAAAAAGCTATACATTCAGGTTAAGTCTATCTAAACTATCTATCTATCTAAAGGTCGAAACGCAACGCAGGGGATCTCCTCTATATCATTTTTGTTATCAGAGCAAGCGTTTCAACTGTGAAAGTAAAACCATGGATTGATGCTCTTTTCATACAAACTGTATGGCAAAAATAACCTAACCCCACTGATAGAACATCAACAGCAGACACTAAACCCTCTTTTTCTCCGCTCAAATTAAATTGTCAAGTTTTCTACAAGAGAAAGCTGGCAAAAATCACAGAAATCAATCATATTGACAAACCTGACAAACTCCATTTAGCTGGCAGGGTAAACAGAGAGCCGGGCCACGCGGTGCGGAGTGAAGCAGAGCGGAGAGTAGAGCGGCGAGGGGGAAGAGAGAGAGCGAGCGAGCGAGAGAGAGCAAGAGGGGAAGAGGCGCACGGGCTGGTGAGAGCGAGCGCTGCTGTGCTGTGGAGTCTCCAACCTTCCTCGGGATACAGACAGATTGCACGCACTAGGTTGCTCCCTGGCTGACAAGATACAAAACTATCCAATCAACCACGCCCTTCCCCACCAATCACAACCAGCCCTCTAAACATAATCAATTCAAATGGGGCCACACAATAGGGAGCCGCGGTCTGGGTTGCAGGTGAAGCCATGCCTTTGTGTAGGGGCCCCTTTAAAAAAAAAAAAAAAGAAAAGAAAAGAAGAAGGGAGAAGAAAAAAAAAAAGGCACAGTTGACGGCTGTTAACCCTTTGACCCAAGCCGGGACTCTGGCCTTCCAATTGAAACAATGGGAGCTTAAAGAAAAGAAGGCCTTTAATTAAACAACAGATAAGTAAACACAGCTATCCTGCAGAAAGAAAGAAAAGTGGCCCCACTATCAGCCCCTTTATTGTTCTGCTAAATGGTATTGTTTACGCCGCCACAACAAAGACACAACTCATTCTAAATTCTAACAAAAAAGGGGAAAAAATGGAGACAAACTATTCAGACCCTTTGTAGTTTTTGGGACTTTTTCTTCCTTTTAAATTTCCAAACACACAATAACAAATGTATCCAGATAGTAAAATAATGCATTTATGAGAACAATTTGTTTTGCCCTGTAGTTCCTCAGGGAATGCTAATCTGTATACAGTTTGTTCTCATTTTACAGCGTGCAACTAGTTGCAGAACGCCGAAGTTTGAGTGCATTCAGTCATGAAATCAACCCCAGCCGGGTTTTTTTTTTCTCCTCTGGTTTTTAAACACTTATCCTCCAGTTTGGCTTCAGAGAAGCTAAACCCACTTATATTAACAGCTAACATTACACCGGCTACAAGGCAATCCATCCAACTCCATCCCGATGAGAGCAATTAGCTGTCATGATATCATCACACTCTCCAACACCCATGTGCACTCAGTGAGAGGAAAGACAGAGAAAAACAGGACCCTGCCACCTACTGGAGATCTTACTGAACTCACCAAGGCAGAATGTAAAACCTAAAGCTCCTGATAATGTACATATATACACATTCTTCAAACCCGACTCAGAGATTCAGCAGAATTTCTTTGGTTTTAAACCGTAATTCATAAATTTAAGAAAAGGGAATGAGTTGCTAATCTGCTAAACTTTTAGTCCTAACAAAAAAAAAGCCTGGTTGATGAAACTGTGAAACCCACTTAAAGAATTCTGAGGAAAGGCAAGATTAACACCTCACTTTGTCAATTATCATGACAATAAACACAAGAGTGGAATAGCAGAGCTCTGAAACACTGCTCATATCAACAGCTATAAACCCTTGGCCCAGAATGAAGGGATATTCACGGGACGCATTCCAGTTCACAAACACACTGGTAAAATAAACAGAGCCCCTGCAAAACAAGCCACTGCTCTCATCTGCTAATAACTAACAATGAGCTTTGCTAAGCTGGCCTGACCTATATAAATTATTGACCGGGACACCGCAAGTGTCAAAAGTGACAATTCCAATACATATCAGAGTGAATAATTAAGTAGTAGAAAAATTGCTTTTATTTTCTACCTGACATGCACAAGACGTCTCAGGCAAAGACGACACACACACACACACACACAAACGCGCGCGCGCACACGTACTACACACAGGCATAAAGTGGTTTAGGCTATGGCCGCACTCTTCTCCCCCGGCACTCTCCCTGGGGTGGCATGTCGGCGTATTCTCAATAAAACACCTTCTTAGCAGTAATAGGCCACTGTTCTCATTTCAACGCTCCCAAAGGCCTCATGATAAATTTAGCAGACACACAGTTCAAGCTTCTCCTCTCACACAGTGTCTTTCTAATCCATTGCCTCTGTTCCTGTGCCATGTAAAATAATTACACGTATGTGTCGATATGATACACAAGCCATATAGATACCCCCCCCCCCTCCTTTTTTTTTTCCTGGTCCGGCGCACGGGGAAAAACATCAATATCTTTTTGAGTCTTGAACCGACGTCCCTTGTGGTAGCTTACAGAGAGAAGTGAGCGATTGTGTTCATGACAGAGTGGATGACATTATAAAATACTCCCATTTCCTGCTTGAGTTAGAGTGAAAGTATGAGTTAATGTCTGGTCTGGCCTGGGCTAAAGATAACGACTCGGATCCCATTACAAAGCCTTCCCAAAACACTAACGCAGCCAGTGAATAAGCTGCTCCAGCACGCCAACAAATGTGTTGTCGTCTCTACGTAGAAGGGGAGGGGGGGGGGGGAGAAATAGAGAGGAAGTGTAGGGAAAATGCTAAACTGCGCTCAGTCCTTTTCTTAAGAAGCGCTTGTGACCGGGGCCACTGTCGCAGGAAAACAAACACGACCCGTTTCGCTCTGGGAGTGTGAAGTAAATTACTGTCTGTGAGAAGAGGGCCCAAGGGGCCCTCTTCAATACTATTTTTTTTTTTTTTTTTTTTTTTAAATTCACAAAGTGCGAATGAAATATTAATTTACCTTTCGTAAATAACAAGTGTCAAATAGCAAACAGCCAATCAGCAGGGCTAAATTTAGAACATGTTTAAAAAATTAAAATTAAATTAAAATAAATATATATATATATAAATGTGTTTTTGATTCCCAAACACTTGTGCTGACACACCACAGGGCTGTGTTACTCGTTTTTGGCAGTATTAAAACAAATGCCCCGCAAAGTTTGAGGGTTTTTCTTTTTCAAAGACTGGCGTTTCAATTTTGAAGTAAAGGAAAAACAGAGTGAACAATGACTGGTTTTGTTTCTATTTATTGTTACTCCTCTATGTCTATTCCTTTGATTTCATCATTCATATGGAAGTTGGAGTGTGTCATTATTTTAGCGCGGCTCGTTTGTTGTTTGAAAAGACTTTTAACGAGGCATGTCAAAAGAAAAGGGCATTTCTAAGCTGTTATATGCCATAAAATTACAGCAAACCTACGTTTAACATCTTGCAACCTACTGATCCTCCCTCTGATACTTGGAATAAGTCATATTCAGATTGAATGAGGTTATCACCCGAAGCAGAATGGAGTTACAGTAAGTCACGCCTGACTCACCGTGTTCCTCCTGGTCTATTATATACGGGTTTGGTTATTTACTTTTAATTTCAGCGTTTCACGAACGTATTGTTTAGTCAGCAAATGTGAACTCTATATTTTCAAAATATTTCCTGAGGTAATATGCCAACCGGAGTAAAAACAGAGCTTTGTGTTTCACTGCACATGCACCTCCTTTTGTGTGGTTTTTCACTGAGTCAAAACAAGAACACTGAGAAATGTCGATTTAAGGAGGTGGGGGAATTTTTGCCTCGTCTTGTTTGGCAATAGATTCATCTTTAATTTAAAATAGAAACTATATCACATCAGCACAAAGAAATTCTGCATACCTTAATAAGAACTTACAGGGGTTCCGTGGTATCTTCAGGGGGGAAAAAAAACGACTCCATAACTAAATCAGCTGCTAATCTAAGGTTATTCTTATTTCATCAGTCAGATTTTAGCAGTGGAGAAAACGTGCTGGTCTGTGGGCAGCTCTCATCATCACACGGTGAGTCTACATCTCTTACGTGATCCCCACCGACTGCTACAGTAACCTACAGACTGTACAAATCACCCAGTCACATTTTCAACACCAACCGGCGGAACTCTATGCATTCATTCCTGGAAATAACAGGCTAAGATGAGTACTCTTTTTCTTTCTTGTTTTGTTAAACGAACGCCAAAAAAAAGAAACAGGAAGAGGGCGATGAAGAACTTCTTTGCTATCCATAGACTAGTTGTTGGCACGTGTAGTTTTTATAGTTAAATGTCAAATACAAAAGGTCTAAACGATGTTCCCATGTGACCCATCTTTTTTCCGGATTTTTCTTTTGCTGTCTTAGTGAGAATGTTTTTTCTCCTGTCTCCTCCTAACACAAGTGAAAATGGAATCAGAGTTACCAAGCTGCCAAAAATGTGCAGTCACACTCAAGGAGAAGTTGCACGGTGAGCTGATGCTGACTTGACTGCACCTTGCGAAGCTGTTAGTGTTTAATAATGCTGTGGCTGACTGTGCGCCCATCCATCCTTCCATCCATTTGCAGAAGAGGGCGTGTGAATCGCTATAAACAACACACGCCTGCCATCAAGACGCCGTGCCAAAGGATGACACAAAGATACAGGAAACTTCAAGAAGAAACGTGTGTTTCTATGTGTGTGTGTGTGTGATGGCTGAGTTGGGTGTAGGGTTGACTGCTTGAAGGGCTCAAATGAAACGATGGTGCTGGAAATGGAAAAGTGGCTCACAGTAGTGTGACTGGAGTCAGTTTGAGAGTCATCGTCTGGGCTGAGAGAGAGCTCCCAAGACATCTGCCCTCCTCCCGAGTCTCTGCCTGACTGTGTGAAACTGGGACAGATGATTTCATTCTGACAGGATTATCCCCAACCTGGTTCTAATCTACACAGTACACATAACACATTTTTACAATATGACGAGGAAAACAAGCTGCAAAGGAGACGGCCCCATCCCCAGCTACCACGCGAGCGGTGGCTTTGGTTTTGCCGCTGATCATTCTTGACAGATTGTATCACCTCAAAGCAACGCACGCATCAAAATGTGATTTCATTACAGCATCACCTTGAGACTTTTAACAAACACAAAGACTTGAACTGCCTCTGGGGCTCAAACATATGCACTCTCTCCAGATGAATGATGAGATTAGATTTTACTCCAATAGACACTTTGTAGACCAACGCAGAAAACATTCTGAATGATTTTTTTTGTGTCAAACGCTTATGCCGGCACAATCCTAAAAAGAACCACAATTGTCAGTTTCAATCAGGAGGGATTTCAGGAGGAAAATTGCTGGATGAGATGAATCATACTGCTGTTTTTCCAGAAAGAAAACTGTGCTAGAACCACATGCCTCTTAAGTTTGTATACTCAATCCTTTGGATCTCTAGTTGCCTGACAATGTCACGCAAGAGATGCATTAAATACCAGAGGTAGACCGATCTAAGTATGATTTAGCTCCTTTCAGGGTGAGCAAAGTCCACTGTTTC